AGAATAAAAGTCACAATTAAACGAGCGCAAATACTAATTTGAACAGTACAGCCCCAAGATTTAAAATTTTCATTAATTATTTTGGCTTCTTAATCATCACTTAATAGAAAAACTATTATGTTGTTATTGTTCCGAATGGGCATACGCTGGAAACTTAATTGTAATTAAACTCTGTTCTTCGGGAATGGTCAAAACTCATCAGTCATTTAATCCAAGAACGTTGCCTAAGGGACACCGTAGGGGGCGACTGATTTTAGACCTGTAAGGACGGGAATATTCCATCCCAACTTTGATGGCGAAAACTCCGGGAAGCGGAACCGAGAGTCTCTTCCCCTACCACAAAAACCCTTCAGAGGAATTTTGGTTCGCCAGCATTTTGAGTTCCTCCATGCCACACAGACCCTTATACATTTGCAAACAGCTAGCCCTTCACCAGAGATCGAGCCTCAGTCCAACCATACGACAGTCAACAACGCTAACCACTATACCGATGAATGCAGCAAAGTCATTAATATAAATATGCACATATGCCTGATTATTTAAGAAATCATGCGCTATGCGCATCGCCAAGAGGTCGCTCAGGCAACTCACGCGCTTTCCCGAGCCATGTCCAAACAATAAAGGGAATTTTAAGCAATTCAGTTAAGTTCAGATGCGTTAATTTTTTTTTTTTTTTTTTTTTTTTTTTTTTTTTTTTTTAATCAGAAACAGTTTTTAAACTTTGGCACAAATTAGAGAAAATGTTTCGGTTTTTGCACAATTTCGACTGACTAGCAAGGATTTCGAGTAAAGCTTGAATGCTTTGGTATTGGTCATAAAATCTGAAATGCGAACTAAGAACAAATAAGGTATAAATCCTATGCAGCTAGAAAATCTGAACACGAGGAGAAGGGAATAAATTTTTTCCCCTTTCCTCGACGCTTAGGATCATAGAAAATATAACTATCTTCTTAATTCTTAGGAGTCCAAAAACTGTCTCTTTCCTCCTCGTTATCATGAGAATTTAGTGTTTGCAAATTTAATTTGATTACACGCCAGTTAAAAGGATATTGTTGCAAGTTGTGCATATATGTAATCAATTTTAGATGATTTATATGTGAAACTGTAGTATTTTTCGTATTCAGTAACATAAAATGCTTGAAAATTGCCAGTCAGAGCTATACCGGAAAAATAAGATTACAGGGACAAATCTATTTAATATTGGGTAAATGGCTATCTCGCTAAAGTGGTGAGATATCGCCAAGCTAGCAATGGTTTGGGAAACTAATTTCTGACACCAAATTTGGTGAGAAATCACCAAAACGTCTGGAAATTGAGTAGAAACCCTCATATCTACTCAATTCTAACCTCTTGACTGCAATTTAACTTTTCTAGCCCTTGCATTTTTTTCTACTAAGCAACGTCTACAGAATACGTCAAGTTGGAAAATGGCAACAATTCCTATAACAAGCGAGTTGTTAAAAATCCGCATTTTCACCAACACTTTGTAACATGAAGCTAGACGGTGGAGAAAGCAACGTGATGGGCACTGAATCGCTTAGAACTTTCAAAGAGGTGTGGTGTATTTAATCATGGCAAAGCGCACTAGGGCTATCTGCCTAAGGAAAGAGATGCCTTCGTGGAGGACTTTCTAAGGGAAACTGGCTCGTATACACGTAACATATGGGGAAAACCACGAAAACGCCCATGCAGCCAGCCCGTTCGCGGGATTCGAACCTCGGACCGAACTACCAGTGTTCAGTGACTTTACCGCTCGGCCGCTGGTGAGCCCCTTTCAAAAAGACTTCAGATAGGTTGATAAAAACACTACGCTAAACAGGGTTTAATTTCTAAAATTAGAAGCACCGTAGCCCTACAGAAGACTATCAAGAAAAAAGGAACAATAATAATAATAAATAAATAAAATTACTAATAAAATCATTAATAATTAATAATTAAATAATTAATGATTAAAGTAATTAAATAATTTTAAATTTAATAAAATGTAAAGAGATAAATTAAAATTTAATAAGCGATTTTTAATATTATAATTTCATTACTTAAAATAAAATTTTCCAGATCAAATTTCTACTGAAATAATTGTGCAGTTACATAAAAGAAGTTCTGGAGCCTTCTTATTTAGGCTTCAATGCGCTCCGACTGCAATTATAATTTATTCCAAAAACTAAGAAATACTGGAGTCGTCTCCAGTGGGCTTCGGCGCAATTTAAGCTTTGCTACGTAAAATATTTCTAATTCTTTTAGCGTACATAAAATTTCAAATGTAAATGAGTACATAAAATCATATAGTCAGAAATTTCCCAGTCCCTAAAAACTGAATTTCGACCAGAATAAAACTAACGGTATTTCACTACTGAAGCCAGTCGGCCACTAGTCGTTCTCGATATGCGAAATTCTACATTTGGATGATTTATATCCAAAGTTATTTAAATCTATATCAGCGGTTTTCAACCTTTTGATTAATACGTACCATCTAAACAAAAATTGAAAAACTTTAGTACCACCACTACATTTTACAATGATTATTTTCAATTTCTCAAATATAAAAAAAAAAATGTATATTTTGCTATTTGCACAGCCTGTTGGCTTTTTGTATTAAATATGCACACATAAAAAGTATTCGATTAAAAATTGGTCACCATTTTAATGATCAAAATTTAAGTTATAATATTTTGATTCTAAAATTTAGTGTTTAGTGTTAAATTTGAGCCTGTTTAAGAGAGATCAATTTCTTTATATCCGGCCTTATTTCACTTAGTTTTAACAGTAAATTAGAATCTACTTTTAGTTTTTTTTTTTTTTTTTTTTTTTTTTTTTTCAAATACAACATGGAAGAAAATCCTTGTTCACAGAAATAGGTTTTGCAAAATTGCAAAAATGCATTAAAAATTTAATACCTTTATTTGAAATGTCTTTAATTTTTTTTAATTTTTTTTTTAAATTTTATTTTATTTATTTTATTTTATTTTTTATTTATTTATTTATTTATTTTTATTCAGCCGAATGTTAACAAGTCTGTTATTTTTGAAATCCTCAGTTAGTGTTCGAGGAAATTTCTGTCAATCGTTCTTTTTCTTCACTAGATTTTTTTAATTTAAGAGTTAAAAAAAATATTTTGTTTTTTTTGCGTACCACCTATTTTTCTTTTGCGTATCACCAGCGTTGAGAAACGCTGATCTATATCATTCTTGCTGAAAGAAAAGGCTATCGACAGCTCTTATGAGTTCAGAAAATGTATTGCAAAACATCGGAAGGAATAGAGCGAACTACCGGATGCTACCAACACCCTCTTAAGGTATAAAGACGGTGTTGATGCTACTCATTCACAGCCTGCAGTTAGGAACGATAGATAATAAGTCATCATTTTATTATATCCTTCGTAGATGTATGGGATATTTAACTTTTTTTTAAAGCCCTAATAAATGGCAAAACGAAAACTTATTTGTCGTTAGTTCCAACAACAACAAAAAATGCTTATATAAACAAGGAGATGCTCAATGCATTTTAAGAGAAAGCGAATCCCTTTCGACAGAAATTCAAATGTTCTTGAAAATTTATGGGTACCTTTTGCAGCCTCTTGTCTTTCGCTTTATCTAATTTAAAATACTTGTTTAAATCTAGTTGCTAGGATAGATGAACAAATGATTTTAATAAAAAAAATATATTGCCTACATAATTTTTTCACGCGTTCAGAATGTAGTTTGATTTAATTTTTAAGTGAAACTACTTTATTTAAAACTCGTACAAAGTGATTTAATTAAGAAAAAAGTTTTTTCATTGTTTCAGCTAAACATATACATATTACCGATTCAATTGACATATCAGTTCGGTTTTGAAAGAATTAAGTAAATTTATGTATGTGGTTTGGATAAGCTAAAATATTTTCCATTTAGCAATGTTTTTCGAGGAATCAGCTACAATTCGTATCGATATCTTACAGGAAACATGATTTATGCAACTGAAAATAAAACGCTATTCATATACATTTTCGTGAAATGTATTTCAATTAAAGTTGCTCTGAAAACAATAACATAAAATAAAAATTATAAATTATTGTTAAAATATTAAATTATATAAAATATAAATTATTATTTTTTTTTGTGTAAATTGAAAAAAATCTCTAATGTGGAGAGGAATTTTGCAAATTAAATTTACATTCTAACGGCGCAATCCTGAAATTATCGAGCAACTTCTATAAATTTGCAGAAAGATCAATTTTTTTTTTTTTTTTTTTTTTTTTTTTTTTTTTGATAATGCTTTTTCTTCAAAATTTCAATCAAATGATTAAGCGAATTTAAAATATGTTTCTATGCCAAAAGTTTTCCAGACCTACAAAGAATACTAAAATTTATTTAAAACCACGAAATTCATCTTCATTTAATTATATTTGCAGGAGAAAACCACGATATTTCATCAGCACTGCTGGACCATTCAATTTCTGCCAGTATTTTGTATAACAGAGTATAACAGTTGTGACTGCTTGCATCACTAATTCCGAGCAGGAATTGGTGTTGAAAGCGTCTTATTTGTCGATTACGCCTTCTAATTGCAACAACCCGCCTGCGGTCAATAACATAAAAACATATTAAAAAATATAAAATCCTGGCATGAAATGAGATAGGTAAAGCATTCTAATATTCTGATGATATTGATACCATTTGATGTTTTCCTTTTTTCTCAATGGCCACCAGAGGGTGGGACCATAGCAACCAATAAGAGAGATTTCTCCGCCTTGCAGAAACTGGTATGACTGCAAGACTGCTCTGTAAACAAAGATATTTGGCGGTGAATTTAAGATACGATTCCTATATTGAAAGCGACTACTATGTACACTACAGATAAAGAAGCGCGTTTGACGTTCTGTGAAACCTTGCGGAAGTACCACCGAGAAAATTAATGAGTATTTTCCGCGCTGTGTTTCATATTTATGAGGAGATGTGAAACGTGAGTATAAATCATAACCACGTGAACTTCGTTGTTTAACGTCCGAGTTTATTTTACAGATCAAGGACATTTAAAAAGATATGACGCATTTTATGCTGTATTGATTAAATCGCCTGTTACCTGCGAACCTGAGATAATTTTTCTATGAATGGCCGTATTGTGTCAGCTGCAGCTGTTACTTTTCTGTTGATTAAGGTGTTATCAAACCCATTGGAGAGAAATACTTTCTTTTTTTGCTCAGGTGAACTTCAGCAAACAGCATGATTACATATGCTCTGTTTCTCTTAGCTTTTGTTCAATTTCACAGTTGCGAAATTCAATACAAAAATGATATTTTATATTTTCATCGAGATCCAGATTGTTACCGAAATGTGGTAAGTATACCGCTAACCTTTTTCCTCATGGGAAATAAATTCTCGAGTGCTTAAAATAAGTGATGAAAAAGTTATCTTATGCAAGAAGCAGCATTAATTCTAATTGAATAAGGTATGCTTTTAAGGGGTTTGTTTATATCAGTTTATCTTAAATACGAAGAATAACAGTTCTGTAGATGAAAGTTTAAGATTAATCCCTGAAAATTAAATGTTTTTATCCTGCTTAGGTTTTTCTTCATTTTTAAATTTTAGAATTAGTTTTAATAAGCAATATAAATAATCCTGCGATTAAACCATTAATAATTTTCAAAAAGTATATTCCTGATAAGGAAATATTTATATCTTGATTAGGTTTTCTTCATGTTTAAATCTCTGAAGCAGTTTTAATAAGCGTATACATAATTCTGAGATTAAACGACTAAGATTTTTTTTTTAAATATATGCCTTAAAATGAAGCATTTTTATCCGACTTAGTTTTTTTTTCATTTTAAATCTTGGAATCAGTTTTAATAAGCATGTAAATAATATTGAGATTAAACAGCTAATAATATTTTTAAAATATAGTTAAAACTTGTGATTAAGTTGGGATCTTTAAATATTTGAAAATGCCCTTTCTGCATGTTTTTTTTTTTTTTTTTTTTTTTAATTTTATTTTCTATATTATAATTTTAAAGAAAATGATTTCTTTCTCGTTTTTGCACGAGCATACGTAAAAATGCAGTAATAATGTACTGAATATCGTTTTCATGTAAACTGTAAAACAGAAAATCCAAAATATTAAGCTATTTTAGAGTTTCTGAATCTCGCCAATGGATGGCAGCACAAGCTGAGGCAATTTCGTTTTTCGTATCTGCTACATTGTGAAAAAGTTCCTAATAAGTTTAGTGGAGGGAGGGAGAGGACATGGTATGTTTTTCTTTCATTTTCCCCCTCTTCTCTTTCCTGTGATATATTTTTATTTCATTGTTAAACTACCTTAATTTGAGCTTCGTAACTATTTAAAAAATTATTTCATAATAATAATAAATATGTAAAGCTATTGTTCTGTTCTGGCTAAATCCGTTAAATGGTTGGATGAACTGGAAATACGTAGAATTTAGTCAGGCCCATTCCTGTGGGCTATGCAGCGAATGCTTAAATCCCTTATACCTGTGCTTGCTTTTAGCGGACTGTGTTTTTCCATTCCATTTATTTGCTTTAATGTTATAATCCTATAACATGCTAGAGTGTAAATAAGATAGATAGTCATATAAAATTAATAAAGGTAGCACATTTTTCTAGTTTTCTGCTGTAATCAAACTATAGCATTTTACTGTTCATACTTTCAGAAGTATTTCGTAAAGTCTTTGTTGTGAATTAGTGATAAATTTAATCCAGTAATCCTGCGTTCTTTTAAGTTCTGTCCATTCCTTTCTTGAAACCATCACCATCATTTTCGATCCATTAACTAAACTGGGTTTTCATAAATTAGCTTTATGGCAAAATATTTTACTAACACCCGTATTTCAAATTTCATAGTGATAAGGATAATATTGCCATCAATCTTATTTTATAAGCATGCTTTAATTATTTGCGAAAAAGTTTCTAGTAGAGTGATTAATTATTCAGGCAAGCAGAAAGAATTTGTTTTTCATTTTTTTAAAGCAATGAGAATTTCACAACCCGCATTTCTGCTCATTCGCTCAGAGATACTGCTGGTAATCTGAGCTAGGGACGGATGAGGCTATCGGGAATTCGGGAAATTTCCCAAGGCGGCCGGTGCATGTGACCCTGCTTTATTACCTAATATTGATGGCTTTAAAAGAAACATTAATCATAATTGTAGAATCATACAGCAAAACGATAAACTCCTAGGAAGAAACTATTTAATGATATATTAAAGAACTCGAAAAATAAACTAAATGTAACCGTATTAAACTTAACGACCTAACCCCATCGTCGAACAGAACTTCATAAGGATACCGACAGATTTGTGCCTTTATGTCAGGGCAGCACCTTTATGTCTCTACGAGGGATTGCCAACTTGAAAAGGTAGCACCTTTGTGTAAATTGGCGACTGTTCGCCAAAATTAAGACCTTCACATGAGTGTCCCGGCTGCCTTGATGAGAGTTGCTTCCCTAACGATACTAAACCTTCATAATGGTACCAGTACCATTTGCGTCTCAGGCTCCTTTTATCGAGTTACCTGTACAGGTTAGACCAACTCCATCCGCCCCTGATTTCACCCTTGATTATATGTTTTAACAAGATACATTTTTGGTTGATTCAGCAGTTATTAACATACAGTAGACCTATCGCCTATTTTGTTCAAATTTTCAGTATTTTTAAAAGCAGTCTAAACCCTGCAAAAATATACAGTTGTTTTGTTTTTCAAGGAAAGATTATACGGTGAAACACGCCAATGTAAAAATTAGGCAAAGTAAAACAAGTTTAGATTGGCATAGATTTTTGAATAAAACCGTATCGATTACGTTACCAACTGATATAGGTCCTTATTTTTCAGAAGGAAGAAATATACATTATCTTAAACATTGGTCTTCCTCGGGAGCAGAATGTTTTTGCTTTTGAAGAACCTATGCACGTTTTCGGCAAAACCGATAATTTTTGTACAATCTATGACTACATAAGGTTTCTCCTTTCTGAATTTTACTTACTAGCTAAATTGTACTGAATATCCTGCAAAACGTCGATTATCCGAACACTCTGTTTTCATTGTCAAATTAATGATATAGAATGAAACTGCGACATGAGGTAGCTAGCAAATTCAACAGAAGAAACTGTTGAAAATGAATACGATATTTACGGTAAGTTGAGTGCCCGCGGAAAACGCAAACCCAGTAACAAGATTTTGACGATTTTCGAATCCATATGCATTTCTAATAGAATACTTCAATGGAGAAAACGGTACTCAAGCAATGTACTTGACGTTATTACTAAAGTCGGGCGTGTAAGCAGCTTTAACAACTTCAGATGAAGATCTGCGAGGACCAACGGAGACAGACTTGCTAGGCCTGATAAATGATCCTCAGACCCATTAAGTACAGATGCTCAGAAATTAGTATTTGATTGGTACAGAAAATAGCTGTGAGGCGGCTGGAGTATATCGCACTATCGTACACAAATGAATGCCTTTCTTTTTAAATAAAAGAAAAGGACCGGAAATCCGAATTTTTTAAATTATTATTGGCTATAAAAATTTGTTAAACGGGTTAAAGGCGGTAAATATCGTTTGACCTGTCACCTGAATTTGGATAGTCGTGGATAATCGGCGTACGGGATAAAACCTATTCTAGTTCTTAGGTTCTGCTGAAAATTAAATTACTACTGAAGTTAATTAAAAAAACTTCGTAGCTCTAGATCATTGGAATATTTAGATTTTATTCTCCAACTTACGCACGCATTTATCATGCTGATAAATCTAGCAATTTTTCATTTAATACATTCTGTGATTTTTTTTTAAGTGTTTTGAAATAGGATTATTATAATTACCAAACCATCACGAAAGCACAATTGCATGAGTAAGCCATAACTGCCATGTAAAAAAAAATACTTTGAAAAAAATTTCACATACAATTTTTACTATCAATATTTTAAAACATATGCTTAATTTATTTTATTTTAAAAATTTTATTACATTGTTATTATAATCCAAAAACATGTTAGAAAAATATTTATGAATGCCTAAATGCATTTAAATGACTATGACTAACTTTTAACTGAGAGGTTTTTTTTTTTTTTTTTTTTTTTTTTTTTTTTTCCCTTCGTATTTTCCTCTATTTTAAACAATTAAAACTCTTTAAACTCAGAAAGAGTAATTGATGAAATAATTTGACTTTTTGTCATTAATAATCTGTGTTAAAAATATTATTTTGGGTTTGTCCTGTTAAACTATTAAAACTTTTTTTAAAAATACTAAAAAGTTGAATATCACAAGTATTGGTACTATTCCGTTTTGAGGACCATAAAAAAAATTGCAGCGAAAATGTATGCGCAAAAGCGCCAAATCTAGCAAACGTGCCCATTTAACAGCGCGCCAAATCTAGCAGACGCGCTGATTTCAGATTGCGTAAGTTTATATAGTTCTATATTTCTTAAAACACCATTTAAATACCAGTTTAATTTTTAAATCCTTTTTTGATATCCTATGGATTTAACAGTTTGGGAATTGCCCGTGAAGAAAAGTCTGCAATAGAATTATGGGTAAAGTGGCAGAATCATCTACTGCTTGACACGTTTTTAAGAATTGCACATACTCGGTATCCATGTACGCATCGACCTATTTTCACTTTCAAAAAAAAAATCTCAGAACTGCACAAAAATGGCACTTCGCACACCCTTGACCTTTATCTATGTACACATCGACGTATTTTCACTCAAAAAGTAAAAGAATATTGACAAAAATCCAATTGTTTTTAACCCTTGTAAAAAGCGGCAAACAAATAAGTGGGCGATTCTGCACTTTACCGAGAATTTTTTCAAAGAAAAGGCATCATTCATTATAGAAAATTATGTTTGAACAACCAACGAGATGAAATTATACTTTAGCGATAACTCGGTAGCGAAATAGCAATGCAGGCAGCCATTCAGTTATGGTTAGCAATTTTATATAAATTATAATAATGATTTGAAATAGTCATTTACTCTTATGCTTCCATTCAGTAATGTTTAGCCTTTTTTATATAAATTATAATAATAAAAACGTATTCATGAAATTAACTTTTCATCTAAATTTAAAACATCAATCTTAGATAGTTATTTACTACTATACTTTCTTTCTTGCGTTAGGGTTGCAGCAATTATTTTTGGCAGCACTGGCATCAACAATAGTTTGGCGATTTTTTACGGCCCTCAAAACCGAATAATAGCCAAAATTTTTTTTTAAATGGCACAACTTACTAAAAAATCAAATTAAGAATTTTGTTCAAATTGGAATAAAATAAAAACTAATGAGTCATCCATCCAAATGCTGATCAAGTATTTGATATTACAAATAATGATG